AGATGAAAACAGACAACGACAAAATTCCAAGCGCCAGAATATTACAGTATATCTTCTCCAGCAGTGGCACACAAACAAACAAATCTCTCTCTCTCTCTCTCTCTCTCTCTCTCAATCTATACCATCCCACAATCCAAACGTATGTACTGTTGGAAAAAATAATTAGTTGTAGTAGTAATCAGAACAATATAATGCAGAAATATAAAATTTATTGTCTGATCGAGTCTCGTGACAGCACGATATCCTAAAGTGAAATTGCCCATCAATAATTGCTGCGACCTCCGTGGACAATCACTCCCAGGATACAACGATCGTAAACCACTTGTGCAGCAATCACGAATGATTTTTCTAGAACTCTCAATTGTACTCCAAAATAGATATAAAAACCCGAATATAAGAAATTCACAATATGAAAAGAGTGATTGATGCAAGATGATTTTTCTATTTTCTTTTTGTGTGTATTTTTCCAAAATGAGATATGGGTTTATATAGGTAAGATGGTAGTAACAGTTTTCACCATATTAATGCAAAATTTTAATGACTGAGTAATGGGTATTTTAATGGCTGTTAGTGGGTTGTTACAAAAATAAACAGTCATAAAATACTGGCTAGTTTTACCCATTAAAAAAGAAAAAAAATATTTATTTTAATCAAGAAAGCCCAAGGCCCCAATCAAGAGATTTTAATATCTGCGTAGGGAGTGACTCGAACCCCTAACGTCCCACACAAATGTCACATTTCCCACTACTTTGGCACTTTATCTAATTTGATTATTTCTTTCACATTTTATATTTATACCATAAATATATAACATGTACATGTTTTGTGCGTGATTTATTGACATGCTTAGCAAGGTAAATGATAGACTTTTTTGGAAGTGTAAAGCCATTCGTATAGAAAAATGGCTCACAGAATTCCACCGGATACTCACAATGTGTGAGCCCCGGGTTGTGATAAAAAATGCCATAAAAATCCCCTACTCTCCCTATTGTGTGTTTTCTGTAACATTTCTGTACACACAGTATTCCTATTTTTGAAAACATGAATTCGGTTTGCTAGTTTGCACTTTTCGGTCCCGGTTTTAAAAATCATTTTTTTTTAAAAATTCATTTATAATTACACATTCTTTCAATAAAATAATTTTATAAGTAAATTAAAAAAATCTATTTTTAACCGCACTTTATTTAAAAAATAATTATTACAACTTCATTCTCCAAAAAATAAGGCTTCAGCAAACGCTTTGTTTGATTTGATGAGTTATTTGCGTATAATGGGCTTTATATCCAATTAAATCAACAATTAATTTTCATCACACATTTATAGGATATAAAATCTTTATTAATTTTTTTGATTATATATTTTATATATGTTGATTAAAATATGATTTTATAAATCAAACAAAGGCTAAAATTTGAGGTTCCATTAATTAATATTTATTGGGATAATAGCCACACCTTTCAAATCTTTGTAGCTTTAATTCTAACATTTCATTTGTTGCACTTGTGGCACCAAACCTTTCAAGTTCGTACAACTGGACGATAAATGGATGAAATCCATACATTTTTTCGTAAGTTGACTAGAAAATTATGTTAGACAATATTTTTAACAATTTCAAATAGTGCAAAAAGATAACTTTATATATATTTTTTTACATAAAATAATTAAATAAAAACAAAAATATAGACCAAAAATAAACCACCTCCCATGGCCTCCATCTTATAGCACTAGGCTTCGCCAAGTCGCCAAACACAATTGACCTAGCATCACAGAAAGCTAATTATTCGTCATCGACATCCCACAAGCCCTTTGCCCATAACAACCTCCAAAACAACAAATGTGTGCTTGTGACTGTGCAATCATCTCAATAGCCACCACAATCGACCGCTTCTTCAAAGACACATCAACCCCCCAAATCCTACCACCATTAAACCACCACCAAATATTGTTACTGGTAACATAGCAAGTACAAATTATTACTGGTAGAATAGGCATATCCAATCTCCAAAATACTCCCAGTTTTTGCTAAATTAACTTCATCATCATGAAGTTTTGTGTCTTTTTTTTATTGTTATTTATGTAGAAAAAATAAAAATATCATATTGTCCTTTTTGAAATAGTTAGAAATATGGTCAAACTTAATTTTCTAATCAACTAACAAAAAAGTTGATGAATTACATCTGTTTGTCCTCTGGTTGCACGCATTTGAAAGGTTGGGAACCATGAATGCAACAAATGAAATGTTAGGATAAAACCTATAAAGATTTGAAAGATTTAAGAACAATTCTGAACTATTCAAAATATGTTTAAAATTGATATTGTGTAGAGAAAAAATCACCGATGAAATATGGTGGAGAAAAATTTTCCACCTTTCACGTCTCAAATGTGCTCTTGCAATAACAATATCGTGAGCGTGGTTTCAAAATATACTTAGAACTCATATCTTGCATACTTGTGGCTAAACAAAATAATGAAATGCTGATAAAAAATCATGGATTACGTTCAACTGCATCTGTACAATTGCCCAAGGCAAATGGTACTGCATTGTCTGAAACAAATGCAATATCAAAACAAGAACGTGGACATTGACATCGACGTAGATTTGGACGTGGATGTGGACGTGAACGTGAAATAAACCTTGAATGAAATAATCAACAAAATTATCAGTAATAAGGCAACAATTTTATAAAGTAGCACTCTTAAAAAGGAATATGAAAAAAATTGCTTTAAATATAGAATGAAATGGCATTGGCCGCATACCTATCGTACGGTAAGATTGCTTGTGGATCTTTACCAAAAAATCAATCAAAGGAAAGGAAAATGTGGAAACAAATTTTTGTTGATTATGATAGTCCCATTGATTTGACTTATTTGGATATCTTTGATTTCTTTGCTGATTCAAATGAGAATATTAACTCATATGAATGTCTCCAATTCAAATGAGAATATGGACGAAATTATCAACAAATCTATCAACAATAAGGCAATAATTTTCATAAAGTAGCACATCAAAAAAGGAGCGCGAAAAAAGTTGTTTTATATGTGGAATGAAAGGGCATTGAACACGTATTCGTCGTACGATAAAACATTTCATGGACACTTACAAAAAATCAATCAAGGAAAATGAAAAATTTGAGATAAATTTTGCTGATTATGATGGTTTCATTGATGTGACTTATTTGGATGTCTTCGATTTCTTTGCTGATTCAAATGANTCATTTGAGGGGAAAGGGCGAAATTCAACCAAAAAAAAAAAAGTTGTTACTGGATAAAATTTCTATCTGTTGTTCCGATCAGCGATCATGGTTATGTCCACACCAATAGGTAACAATTCAAATTCCAAAATTCAAGATACAGCTATTAAGACAAATTACATCAATGCCAGCAAAAAGGACTTAAGAAGACATTAAACAGGCCGATTGTATGTTATATTATAATTCATTACATAGTAATCTAAACGAAATTTTCACTTGTGGAGCTAATTGTTTCAATAATTTCCAGTGTTTTAATGCACACTACTACACAGAAAGAAAAACGACAATTAACCTGACTTCGCTTGATTTTAATGAGAAGTTCCTTCTGTGCAAAAAATGCCTCCTCGATGATCTTCGAAATATTTAAAACCTGTCCTCCAATCTTCTCCCCGGCGCTCGTAAGCGTATTAACATACTGCGAAATCAGATCGTCGAATGCGATAATAGACGGATCCATAGCCATTGCATCTTCGACGACCTCTGCCGCACAAGCTGAACGGACTCCAGCGGAGGAAAGCATTTCAATCCGCGCCACTGCGGATTCTAACCGTTTTATCAAATTCTCATCCATGCTCCGTCTCTCTCTCTCTCTCCCCCCAAAATTTCGCCTTCAGGTAGTGTAGATCCGTTTACTGCATATAATAATAATGTAATTAGTATTTTGTAAACGTGTAATTTAGTCCATTTTTGGTTCAGTTAAAAAATTTAAGTTAAAATTAATAATTAATTTTATACACATATTTTATGGAATTAACTTTTTCTCAACTATACATTCTATCAATTTCTAAACAATCTATCCATTTTTATCAAAATTTATTAAAATTATGATTTTTATCTCAATCAATGTTTTGTCCGTGCAATCCTTTGGACATGGACCCTTTTTTAAGAATAAATTAGCTAAAGAAAAGTGATTTATTTTTTTATTAAATGTATGATCAAAAGATAAAAAATTAATTTTACGTGCAAATTATTTACTAAAAATAAATAGTTTAAAATAAACTTTATAAAATGAGGCTCGGATAGGAGCTTACAATGGGCTAAATGACGAGAGTGTGCGTATCAAAAGCAGCTAGACAGTCGGGATAAGTCGATGGGTCGGACTAATTTTAACGGACTGATCAATCCAACTTGACAACATACAAGAATCGACCTAGTTTAATTTTTTTACCTGTAAAACTTAAAAAATAATATAACCGTTAAATTTTACTTGTAAATTATTTTCTATATATGACGCTATAATAAATTTTATTTCAGTTGTCCTAAATTGACCCAACTTTGATCCTCAACAAACTACTTATCACGTCCACCCAAACGACTCTTGAAACTCTTTTCATACTAGGCTAATGCAATGGTGCTATCAGGTGCAATGTACACTTATTTACAGCCTATTTGGAAGTAATTTTTTTCCCCAACAAATTGATTTTTTGACCATTATTTCACTATTCCAACCGTCATATTTGATTTTTTCTTTCACGGGTGGACATCACTTTTCTTCAAACAGTCAAAAAATCAATTCTTAAAATCACTTTCAAACAGACTCTTAGGCTACCATTCTTGATTATTTATTGATAAATTGAGAGAATATCTACTTAACTTTGTATAAAATGTGTTATATTATAAATAAAACCCAAACTTGGATGCAGTTGAATGCAGTTGCTATTTAAGTTAAAATTAATAATTAATTTTATACACATATTTTATGGAATTAACTTTTTCTCAACTATACATTCTATCAATTTCTATACAATCTATCCATTTTTATCAAAATTTATTAAAATTATGATTTTTATCTCAATCAATGTTTTGTCCATGCAATTCTTTGGACATAGACCCTTTTTTAAGAATAAATTAGGTAAAGAAAAGTGATTTATTTTTTTATTAAATGTATGATCAAAAGATAAAAAATTAATTTTACGTGCAAATTATTTACTAAAAATAAATAGTTTAAAATAAACTTTATAAAATGAGGCTCGGATAGGAACTTAGAATAGGGTAAAAGACGAGAGTGTGGGTATCAAAAGCAGCTAGACAGTCGGGATAAGCTGATGGGTAGGACTAATTTTAATGGATTGATCAATCCAACTTGACAACATACAAGAATCGACCTAGTTTAATTTTTTTACCTGTAAAACTTAAAAAATAATATGGGTGTTAAATTTTACTTGTAAATTATTTTCTATACATGATGCTATAATAAATTTTATTTTAGTTGTGTCCTAAATCGACCCAACTTTGATCCTCAACAAATTACTTATCATGTCCACCCAAACGAATCTTGAAACTCTATTCATACTAGGCTAATGCAATGGTGCTATCAGGTGCAATGTACACTAATGTAGGCTACTATTCTTGATTATTTATCGATAAGTTGAGAGAATATCTACTTAACTTTGTATAAAATGTGTTATATTATAAATAAAACCCAAACTTGGATGCAGTTGAACGCAGTTGACCGTAAAAAATGTAGAAATGGAGCTTAAAGACTAATCAGATGGCATAGAAGTGATTAGAAATAAAAAGAAAGCTATCAAAAGAAAATTACGAGTTTCGGGGTGAAATTCAACTTTAAAATGTTTAAGCACCATATTACAAACTTGCGACATGCACACTAGAACTAGATAGAATTATTGTCTGTTTGGAAATGATTTTGAGAATTGATTTTTTGATCGTTAGGAGAAAAGTGGGGTTCACCTGTGAGAGAAGAAGTCAAATATAACAACTGAAATAGTGAAATAACGGTCAAAAATCAATTTTTTTGATTAAAAAATCGCTCCCAAACAGGCCCATATTGTTGAGTCATACTCACTGCTTTATATCAGGTAATAACATTCCTGTGAATTCAATTTGCAGGATAGGATCCAACTAGGATCTCAATTACTTCAAAATCGCCAACTGCGTACTACCCCATTTAGGTGAAATGCAAGGAAGATGATAGAAAAGATTTTAACTTCAATTTTTCTTTCTTTATCGTCATCTATATCATCTAATCTACCGTAAAAAACATGCCATCAAAATATGCATCATCAGCAAGGTACAAATTTCATTCCATTAAACATAACATTGCAACGAACGACCATACGAAAATTCACTGAACTACAATCTCACCAGACTGCACAAAGCTACAGAGAGAATTCGACTTGTTAACAAACTAAATGATCACATTCTGATTCCCGATACATTGGGTTTGAAGACATTTCCACCGTTGACAGAATGGTGGTCTTATTTTCAGACGTTTTACCCTAAATTTAGGTAAAGAAAACCGGCGAGCTTTCACATCGTTGTCATTGAACGATCCTGAGTCTCAAACCCTACTCAGTCAGCAATGTTAAGGTAATGAACAATGTCGGATCGAAGGACAGACATGCAAAGATCGGATCAAAGTAGGCGCCTTCTGAAGTTTCGAGTGGTTCCTTGGTAAGTTCGAACCAGCAACCCAACTCCTATTCCGACTCCAAGACAGATGCTGAGCCCAATTCCAACACCTACTCTTACTCCAGCGTTGAACCATGATAACTCTCCGTCTTCGCCTTCCAAATACTCCATTCCAGGATACGGGGTGCAATAATCTTCCTCATCTGGTTTGTAATCTGGGTGCTGATTTGCCTGCAGAATGAATCAAAAGACAAAAAGTATGATGCATAATGCAAAATAATATCTGGAAACTCGGCAACATTGTAAACTAATCCTATCCCAATTTGCATCAGATTTTGGGTCAAAAAGCTTATTAGATACCATTGATCCCAATATCTAATTAGTTGTATCAACAGGAAGTGGAAATGAAAAGGTCAGCACACCTGCCGGGCATATGGAAGTTCCAAATTCACAAGAAAAAGAGTCAACATAAAGCTCATAAATTTCAAGAATTGTACGGCATTAATGTTCCCATCCTGATTTTCATCATCTTCTTTTATGAATTTAAAGATATTTCATATACATAGCATAGAAATAGGGAAATCATATTTCCGATTTATGTTCTACATGGACACATCTTGCGATATAAGTTCTCAACTGTGTTATAAATTACCATTTCAGACAAGTTAATGAATCAATTCACAATATTTTATATCATCTATGTGAGATCTTGTTAGTAGTAATACCAACATCATACAAAGACAAAAGGGGTGATGTACTGTAATATTCTTGTACTTAGAAGTATGTGCCAGGGTCATGCTTACCTGGACAGTCCAGGATAAGTTTTTATGTCCCTGTCAAAATTTGTGGCTACCAAGAAGATTGCTGTAAGAAATTTTTATTTTGCGCAGGATCAGAAATTACTACATTTAAATGCAAAACAAAGAATTACATATGAAGCTAAAAATGTAAATTCGTAATTACGAATAAAAATTTGAACCTCTACCTGCATAGAAAGGCCAGAGGAACCATCTTCTTGGCTTTCAGTGGCATCGTATTCTGGTATTGATTCCAGCATCCCTGTCCTTGTTTGCTTCCTCCTATGACTAAGTTGCACGGTTTTAGTCAATATAATCGGACTACCCAAGAAACAGCCAGCAACATAAACTTCAATACCAGGGGAAGAGGATGACTCCAGGCCAGTGTTTTGATTTCCCTTCAAAATTCCCGAGCCTGCTAGTGTATCCGATATACAATCCATGCTCCAACTTTGCCCTTGATTTCTTGAATCACCAAAAAACTCATTGCTATGACACAATTCTAACGTTCCAAATAGCACGAGAACGCCCTTATGGAAAACTTCGAATTTCACACTACCTGTCATTCTGATACTATCGGTACTCACAAATGTAACTTCTTCGGACTTCTTATCTAACCTATCTCGTTTTAGAAGGGTCGATGCACCATCCGAATATATGCTAGTCCTCGCACCATTAATTTCTAGAAGGGTATCACGATTTAAGGGCACATGGTTTAACGTAAGATACTCAGGAGTCGAATCATCATCAATCACACATTTGCTAAGTCTGACATAAAAGACTCTTAAATCAAGCCAAAGTAAAGATGCTTTCATGCCCGGCTGGTAAGAGGTGTGCCTCATAGGGTCGTGGCCATTTTCTGCAACTCCATTTTCATTCAATTGTTCATCAGAGTTCCCAACATTTCTCATTGAAATCAACACTTCTTCATTGAAATCCATTGGGGCTCAATTGATTTGTTGGCTTGAGAAATCCCTTAAAGCAGAGACTCATATCAGTCAATATAACCTGTAAAAATGCAGAAATATGAAAGTGATCTATAATAAGGTTTTCACACATTTATATAAGAATTTTCCAATAGGAAAAAAAATTTAACTCCAGAAGAAAGGAACAGAGAGAACCCTTTGCAGTTTAAGGAAGATACATGAAACTTTTTATTAGCGAAACAGATAAAAATCAAACAAAATTTTGTAAGAAAAATTTGTAAGAAAAGTTATAAGTGCTGATGCAAATTTTGTATTCTTATTGAATTAATGAAACAGATAAAAATAAAAAACCAGCAGCCACCTTAGCGGAGAAAACACTGGAAACAAGGAGATAACGTAGAGGTATAAATAAGCAGCAAACTTTATGTAAGAAATTTCCAAAATAATAATGTTATTTGCAGTTGTTCATTATCACAGTCATCATAAGTGACATACATGTAGCGGTTAGTAATTTATTGCTTGAGGTAATAAAAAACTACCACATTAATGTATTAAATTACTAAACATCACATGTATGCCACATAAGACGACTACAATAGTGAACGACTGCAAATAACATTAAAAAACAAAATTGGTGAAAAAAACTCATCAAATGCGTACTTGATGCATTGTACACGTTGAATACGTAGTAATGAACATGATTAGACCTCAAAATAACAAGATTTTGGCTAGAGTGAATCAGAATCTTCTATATTTAGTCCCTGTTTGGCCCTCATTTTGTAGAAAAAATAATGAGTGGAATAGTATTTTTTTTTTTAAATGATTGATTGAAAAAGAAGGAAAAACTTTCAATTTACGTGTAATATTATTTTACGAAAGATTGTTTAATTTAAAATAGAAAAGAGAAAAATGAAATGTAATAGAATGTAAAATAATTGATGCGTGCGTGGGTGGGTCGGAGGGGGGGGGCGAAGAGGGCTTAGTGCCATAAAATATGAATAAAAGGTGAATTTGGAACAGAAAATAGACAGCATAAAATAAATGCAGAACCAGAGTAAATTACCAAGAGTTTCTGGGCTTTACAAACAGAATAGTAACAATGAAATTTAATTTTATACTATGTTTCGTCTTGAATGGGATTGAAGAATAAAAAAGGCCATTATTGCGCCATAAAACTGTGATCAGACATCAGAGGAGAGATGAAAACAGACAACGACAAAATTCCAAGCGCCAGAATATTACAGTATATCTTCTCCAGCAGTGGCACACAAACAAACAAA